TACAGGGAAGCCCAAGGAGCTCTGGTAGTGTAGTGGTTACGAATTGGGCTGCGAGCTGCAAGGTCAGAAGTTCGAAACTACCGGCTCTTCCACGAGAGAAAGATGAAGCTTTCTGCTCCATAAAGATTTACAGCCTTGGAAACCCTGTACAGGGTTGCTATGAGTTGGAACCGACTCCACAGCACATAACAACAACAACAGGGAAGCCCAGTTAATACTACTGGTAAGCTTAGCACAAAGTAAAGTCCCAGAGCATGGTTTTTGTTTTGTTTTTAAATGAATCTAAGTCACATTAATGACACTGATAATGCAAAAAGAAAACAAAACAGTAAATTCAAAGACGGCAATTCCGATGAGAAATGATTTGCTTTTTAGAATAGTAGAAAGAATATGTCCACTGTTCTTATCCCAACACTAAGTGTTTCCCTATCAGAAGGAGGTACAGGGAAGTAGAAAAATTTTTGACTGCCTCACCCAGTTTCAGCATGTTGTTCCAGGATCCAGACCTTGTCAGTTCACAAGATGTAGATTTCGAAAATACCTTAAAACCAAACAGAATCACCTCTATAGCGTCTAAATTTTATAGTTTAAATAAACTCCCAAATTAAAAAAAAAAAAACACTCTATTGATACTTATCTAAGCTACCTCAACAAAAGATCCCATTGGTAAGACGACAAGTTTAATTTGTTTAGACTCACAAAATTATGGATAATGCAATGGGATCGCAAGGTCAGTTTGAACTGCAAGGTCAGTGGTTCAAATTCACCAGATGTTCCTCAGAAACCCTATACAGGGTCGCAATGAGTCAGACTGACTCAAAGGCACTTAACAACAACAACATATATAAATTTCAGGTTCTTCATACACAAATAATTAAGAAAAATTGATGCATTAATAATTATGCTCCTTATAAATAAATATTTTTAAATGTTTAATTCCTTAGCCTTTAATTTCTTGACCTTTAAATCAAAGCTAATGAATGCAGAAACATTTCTAAAAAGAAGTCATTCTATATATTAACTTCTCAAAAGGCAGTATTTTTAAACTTCAACTTTAATAATTAAGTACAAGCAAAGCAGCACCCTTACTGACCTCTTCTGAAGGGGCCACATTCCGTGTTCCATTACAAGCAGAAGTTACCATGGGCTTTGTAGTCAGCTGGAATGGGAATCCCAAGAAACTGGCAGCATTGTAGAGACTGTTTTTCACTTGGTGAATAAAGGAATCTAGAAAATGTCAATAAACTATAAAACAGAGTCATATATTTTCAACCATAAAAAAAGACATCTTGGAAAGTCTCTCTTGATTTCATTGCAAGTCCTATTTTCAGCCATTGAGATATAAATCTGTCTATAAAGATACTTATTATAAAGTGAATAACCAGAATTTCAGTATTGTGATTTTTGCTTTTATAGCAAAAGATCTGGAATTCTGGACTGCTAATCGCAAGGTCAGTGGTTTAAACCCATCTGTCGCTCCTTGGAAACCCAACATAGGATATCCATGAGTTACAAAACAACTCAAGGCACTTAACAACAACATAAAAACACAAAAATATCTCTTTAGAAGGTCACATTAAAAAAAAAAAAGCCCTGAAATAGCAGGTTTCCAGGTGGCTGTGGGTTAATGTGCCAGACAGCAAAGCCATTTGAACTGCAAGGATGGTGGTTCAAGCTCACCAGCTGCTCCTCGGAAACCCTATCCATGGTCACTATGGGTTGGAACCGACTCGATGGCACTTAACAAAAAAGTTCCCAGTATAAAACAAATCTTCGTCAGAGTGGCAGGGGCATAACTTCGACAACCAGGAGTATGCAGCAGCTAGGTACAGAAAAATTCTATAGGAAGCAATGCCATTGACTCTCTGGGTTGTCTTACTACCAGTGGAGATAGCAATATAATTGCCCTAACCCACTATTAACTGAGGGCCTAGTATATCCTGGCTAGGTCACTGGTATAAATTAATTTAATAGACATGAAGCTCTTAAACATGAGTGATAAAATAAGGTTCTCTAAAATAAGAGCACCGGGGAAGATGTGTTGGCAGATGACAGGTTCTCTCTACCCTATCATCAAAAAAAGTTTACTAAACAAGTAAATAAATAAGAGGGAGGAAAGATTTAAGTCATTTCCTCACTTCCTCCTTAGATCTCACTACCCCTTTCTGACTTATTACACCTCTGATTTAAATTTCCTATATAATCCTTTCTATTTCCTAATTAAGACTATTCTGAAGTTGGAGATTGAAGTATTGAAGATATACTAATTCCAAAACATCTTAGCTGCATTCTTCTTTAGCAAAAATTGGAATGAAATGGTAGTTTTTGAATAATAATATTGTTGTTGTTGTTGTTAAATGCCACTGAGTCAGTTCCGACCCATAGCGACCCTGTACAGGGTTTCTGAGGCTGTAAATCTTTACGGGAGCAGAAAGCCTCATCTTTCTCCTGTGGAGCAGCTGGTAGTTTCGAACTGCTGACTTTGCGGTTTGCAGTCTGATTTGTAACCTCTACGCTACCAGAGCTAATAATATATAAAATATAAAATACATGTTTCCTAGAGCCATAAGGGAATAAACTTATCACAGAGAGGACACGATAGCCGGATAAAGTAGAATTTGAAGTAATTTGTTACTAGAGAATAGTCAAAAGCACCAAAGTCTGCAACTGACTTGTGTGTTGGTAACTTTCATTAACTTCCTCCAGTCTGAGGAAAAGAGCTTAAGGATTGGTACTTAACCACAAACTGTCATTCAGATGTAGTGGCAGGAAGTATTCTTTACAGCATAAATTGTTGTTGTTATGTGCTGTGGAGTCGGTTCTGACTCATAGCAACCCTGTGCAGGGTTTCCGAGGCTGTAAATCTTTACAGGAGCAGAAAGCCTCATCTTCCTCCAGTGGAACAGCTGGTAGTTTCAAATTGCGGACCTTGCGGTTCACAGCCTGATTCGTAACCACTACACTACCAGAGTTCCTTCTTACAGCATAAATAGTGGCCACAAAAAAGCACTGTAATGTTTATTCTCCTACAAATTTTGTCAAAACCTGGTATGCAAAAGATCACAAATATTTAAAAAAAAAAAAAAAAAAAGAGGAAGGTTGGCCTCATCTGTAAAACAGGGATGTTGTGTTAGTTAATTCTGCCTTAAGATAAGATGACCCCCAGTGTGCAGTGTCCATTGGGTTTTCAAGATTGACCTTTCAGAAGCAGACTGCTAAGGCTTGTCTGTCTTTCAAGGCCTCTCTAGGTGGGTTCAAACCACAACATTTCTGCTGGTAGTCAAGCACTTAACCATTTATACCAACCAGGAAGGTAAAGTGGGGATGTTTTTGCTGTATGTGCTGTCAAGTTGGTTCCAAGAGGCTAGTGGGTTTGAACTGCTGACCTTTTGGTTAGCACTCCAGTGCTTCTATTACAGCACCACACCAGGGGTCCAAAAGGGGGATACTGTTTGTTGTTAACTGCCACCAAATCGGTTCTGATTCATAGCAACCCTGTATAGGGTTTCCAAGGAGCAACTGGTGAGTTGAACCACTGACCTTGTGGTCCACTGCTTTATCCTACAGAGCCACACCAGGACTCCAATATGGGGATAAGATCACCATATTTTCCTGAAACTAAGTAAATCTCCCTTGCATTTGTAAGCTCATGAGTCTGTGATTGTAAGGTCCTCTTTCTTTTCTCTTACTCTTGCCTTTTCTCCTTTCAAAAGAAATCAGGGTAGCCAGCAGCTATATGTGGTTAAGTTTAAATTGAATGACAATTAGATAAACTTTTAAATTCCATTCCTTAGGTACCCAGCCATCAACATCCTAAAGAGTTCTATTAGACAGCACCGCTGCAGACCTTCTCAAATCCTGCCAATGAGTAACAGTGCTGTGACCCACTGCTTCCCCTTGGCTGAGGATCCCTTCTAGAGTTTGCCATTTAGAAAATCATACTAATATTTTATGGAAATCATGAAGAATCCTTTAAAATAAGAGATTACCATAATTATTTCTGGAAGCTTCTGTAATACCACTGTCAAGGTTTATGTCTTTTATCACATCCAAAGATAACTGACAGTTATTTATAATTTTCTTTAAAATCAACTCACTTTTCGTGGTGCCTTGAATTTACTTGATATGGCTTATCTATCCAGTCTTCTTAATTCCCACCAAGTAATTGGCTGGGATCATGCAAATAAGGTACACAGGATTGGTTAGTTTTGCCCTCCAGCGAGGTTTAAAAGAAGGACCACAAGGTTGGACGTTCAAACCCACCAGCCATTCTCAAAAACCGTATCCAGGGTCACTATGAGTCCGAACCAACTCAAGGGCACTTAACAGCAACAACAAATCTCAGAGGCAGAGACGGAAAATCCCAGGACCAACAAGAAGGAAGAGCATGAGTGAAGCCTGCGCAAGAGTGACGACAGAAGCAACAGCAGAGGCAGTGGCATGGAGAGACAGAGCAGCTTTGGGCTCTAGACCCATGGACTGAGTAAAGCTGAGTGCCTACATGCAGGAGACTGGCTTGAAAACTGTGCCCTTTGGGGAATTCACAGATTGGCTAAAAGAACTTTATAATACTTGCCGGAGCAGGGCAGAGGCCAAGGGACCACATGGCTGAGAGGCTGAAGACAAAGAGTGAGGCATGCCTGAAGTATGGTTTTGATCCTAATAAACCCCATAATCATGAATATTGTTATGAGTTCTGTGAAGCCACTCCAATGGATTATCATACCCAGATGTGAAACAGAGAGTGCTGTGGAAGGGATGTCTGGTGTCAGAATAGGGTAAAGAAGATTGTAGGGTAGAAGCATATTTGACCTCCACAACATAGGAATTGGCCTGGGACTGATTTTGAGTTTTATTCTCTTTCCCCATAATGAGCCCAAAGGAAGTCAAACATGGAACCTACGTGGTTTTTGCACTTTTTGAGCTTAAGTAAACATATTTTAAAAGATGATTTTACATTATTGCTATAAATGTAATGCCAACATGGTTTACCATACATAGAAATGAAAACTCAACAATATTATTAGATTCCAGTTAGGTCTGTCTTTCACAACAACAAAAAAGGATTAACATGTGTTAGACAAGTATTGAAGATATACTAGTTACAAATCAAAAATTTATTGGAATAAATAATAATAATGGAATAAAATTAACTAAAAAGGATTCAAGTATTGTAGCATATAATTCAAATGTTACCTAATGCTGGAAATGTTGCATATCACCCAAAATTCTTTTCCTGAATAGTATCTATTCTGAAGTTGGTGAAATATTGCTCAAATAAATTTACTACAAATTCCTGGCATTCAAAGTCCTCTATAATCTGGCCTTATCTCTCTGATCAACTCTTTCCCTGAGCTCTATTCACAATTTCCCATATTTACACAACCTTCCCATAGTGTTCCCACTACCTAGAATGCTTTTCCCTCCTCCTGTTGATATCTAGCTACCTTTTCAGATACTTCTCACAAACTAACTCCTTCAACCAAACATTTACTGAGACTCTCGACCAACTGGAAATTGTATATATTTTTGTTACTGTCGTTTTCATTTCTCATATTCACATTGGCATTTGAATCACGATATGCTTGTCTTATACCTCTATTGTATAGTCATGTTCTCCAGAATACTAGTTAAGGTCTTTAAAAAAAAGAGACCCTGTTTTACTCATTTTTGTACTTTCTGTAGAATCTAATACATTGCTTAGGCTTAAGAGGTTCAACTTGGGTTTAAACAAAATACCAACACAGATATGTCTGTTCTCAACTACCACATCAGGAGATAAACCCAAATATGTAGTCAATTTTTAGGGGAAAAAAAGTATATTGTGACAATGTTCCATTGTGCCTTTTCCTTTTATTCTAAGTTTTGTTGTGTTATGATAAAATAAACACAACATAATATTAACCATTTTAATCATTTTCAAGCTTACAATATAATGGCATTACCCATATTCACAATGTTGTGCAAAACTATCACCACTGGTTATTGCCAAAACTTTTTGTCACCCCAAACAAAAACTGTACCCATTACATAATAATGCCTCAGGGTCTTCTGTCTCTAGGCATGGTAACCTCTACTCAGCTGTCTTTATCTATTGTAAATATTTCATAAAAATAGAATCATACAATATCTGTCCTTTTGCATCTGGTTTATTTTACTTAGCATAAGCTTTTCAAGATTCATCCATGCCATAACAGCATATATTAATTTTTCTTTTCTTTTTTAAACTTCATTCCTTTTTAACTCTAACCTACTTTTCGTCTTTTCATTCAAACCACATTTAGCCCTTCAGATATGGGAAAGTACAAGACTTTAACAATTAGATAGATTTTTTTTCACTCAGCTAGTCAAACGAAATCACTCAGTTTGGGTTAGTTTTTATGCTTCTTCCTCAAGAATAAAAATAATCTTTTCTTTCTAGGGATATTTAGCACATACTAATAAACTTCCAACATATATGAGGGGGCTTCAAAAAGTTCACAAAAATAGGGAATTAAAACTTTTTGAGGCCCTTCATATCAAGTGGGCATAATCTCTGGTAACAATGGTTCTCTCTAGAAAAGATAACTGAGTAAGAAAGAGACAGCAAAGGGACTTATTTTTCATATCCATTTTACCTTTTATATTTTGTTCTATGCATATATATACTATTATTTTTAAATTTTTAATTAATATTCAGTACCTAATCTTGGTCTTTTGGCTGGTATTTCATCAGGGTCCACTGTGGAAAACAGACTGCTGAAAAGAGATGGGGGGAAAGTATACATATATATGTAAACATATCCATTTCTATAAGTCAACTTACTTTTCATACAACACACCCGCTTCCATCCATTTTATCATCAAATGAGGTCCAATTGATGTTTTGAAAGAGTATATACATTGTTCTATGTTTTTGCTAATTTCCATAAAATTGATTCATCAGACTCGTGGCCGTTAACATTTAAGGATTTAATAACTTATCATAACCTGTAAGGAAATTTAAAATGAGCTATGACTCACTTGTTGTTGGTAGGTGCTACTGAGTCAGCCATGACTCACAGCAAACCCATGTACAGCAGGACAAAACCTGTGCCATCCTCCTAATTGTGTTGTTTGAGCCCACTGGCGGAGCCACTATGTCAATCCATCTCTCTGGGGTCATTTTCTTCTTTGCTGGCCCTCTATTTGACCAACCACAATGTCCTTTTCCAGGGATTGTTCCCTCTTGATACAATATGTTCAAAGTTGCTGTTTTTAAGAGTTGCTGAGTCAGTTCGGACTCATAGCAACCCTGTGTAGGGTTCGAACTGCTGACCTTATGGTTAGCAGTCCGGTTCTTATACTACAGTGTCAAACCAGGAGTCCAACATGTCCAAATTAAGATAGCCAAAGTCTCACATCCTCATTCTAAGAAGCATTCTGGTTGTATTTCTTCCAAAACAGACTTGGGTCTTCTAGCAGTCCATGGTAGTTTCAATAATTCTTCTCCAACACCGTAAATTCAAATACCTTAATTCTTCTCTGGTCTTCCTTATTCATTGCCTAGGTTTCACAAGCATGAGGTAACTGAAAACACCATGGCTTGGTTCAGCTACACCTTAGTCCTCAAAGTGACACCTCTGCTCTTTAACACTTTAAGTCTTTTGTATTAGATTCACCCAATGCATTAGGCTGTTTGATTTCTTGATTGCTATATTTCTATGAGTATTGATTGTGGGTCCAAGTAAAATAAAAGCTTTGACAACTTTAATTTTCTCTCCATTTATCATGATGTTATTTAGTGCTTCCATTGTGAAGATTTGTGTTTTCTTTGCACTGAGGTGTAATCCATATAGAAGGCTGATCTTCATCAGTATGTGTTCTTCATTTCCAGCAAGCAAGGTTGTATCCTCTGCATACTGAAGGTTGTTAATGAGCCTTCCTCCAATCCAAATTCTTCTCTGTACAGTGCAGCTTCTTGGATTATTTGCCCAGTATACAGATGTAGATGTTAAGTAATAATAGCTTTTGATTTCCTCAAAATTTTAAAGTACAGACTAGTGAGCATGATGTAAGGATACAATGCTGACACCCACCATTCCTGATTTTAAGCACACAATATCTCCTTATTCTAACTGCCTCACAGTCTATATACAGGTTCTACATGAGCACAATGAAATGTTCAGGAATTCCCATTCTTCACAATGTTATCCAGTTTGTTATCCACAATCGAATGCCTTTGCATAGTCAATAAAGCACAAGTAAATCTCTTTCTGATATTCTTTGCTTTTAGCCAAGATCCATCTAATGTCACCATTGCTATCTCTCATTCTACATCCTCTTCTGAATCCAATTTGAATTTCTGGCACTTCCCTGTCAATGTACTGCTGCAACCGTTTTTAATTATCTTTAGCAAAATTTTCCTTGAATGTAATATTAATGCTATTATTCGATGATTTCCACATATCATTGAATCTCCTTTCTTAGAAATGGCACAAATATGGATTTGTCCTGAATATTGACCACTACTTGTTTGTCAATTTGTCATACTGCAGTAGACTGTATGCTGCGGTTGTGATGGAAGGTTGTTGTTGTTGTTAAGTGCCGTCGAGTCTGTTCCGACCCATAGCAACCCTGTACAGGGTTTCCGAGGGTGTAAATCCTTACGGGAGTAGAAAGCCTCATCTTTCTCTCGCGGAGCAGCTGGTAGTTTCGAACCACTGACCTTAAGGTTTGCAGCCCGATTCGTAACCACTACGCTACCAGAGCTCCTTGTGATGGAAGGTATGCCACCAATAATTCAAATACTTCAGGGTCACCCAAGGTGGGCAGGTTTCATTAGAGTTTCCAGACTAATGAAAAAGGAGCAGCAGACCACCTGTGAAAGGCTGGCCATAGAAAACCTCATGAAAATAGAAATGATCGATGAAACAAAGCCTAGCTGATAAATAAACATAGGCAAAACACTAGAATCAAAGGGTGTCTGCACCCAGAAGAAGCTCGCCAGATGCATGAAACCCAGTAAGTGTTCAGCAAATGTTTGCTGAGTGCATAAAATAATGGTTATTGTTGTTATTAGGTGCCATGGAGTCGGTACCAACTCATAGCGACCCTATGCACAACGGAACAAAACACTGCCCAGTCCTGGGGCAATCTCACAATTGTTGCCACACTTGCGCCCACTGATGCTGCCACTTTGACAATCCATCTTGCTAGGGGTCTTCCTCTTTTTCTCTGACACTCCACCTTACACCAAACATGGTATCATTCTCCAGTGACTGGTCCCTCTGACAATATGTCAGAAGTATGAGAGACAAAGTTTGGCCATCCTGGCCTCCAAGGAGCACTCTGGCTGCAATTTTATACCCAGCTTGCTGCCCTTTATTTTGCATACACTATATTCCCAGAACTTTACATACACTGTTGCCTTCATTTCTTCTAGCAACTCAAGCAATGGGAGTCTTGTACCCATTTAATAAATAAGGAAATAGAGGCACAGAGTGATTTAAGCAATTCCATTAAGAGCAGAGAGTTTCTTAGTGACAGCTGGAAGTTCATCAGGGATCTGACTACCTGTGCCAGTCTCTTCCCCTTGAGGTCTACTAGCCTAGAGACCCTGCATAGGGGTTCCAAGGAGCAGCTAGTGGGTTTGAACCACCAACCTTGCGGTTAGTAGTCCAGTGTTTATCCTACAGAGCTACACCAGGGCTCTGGGACAAACCAAGGAGTAGATGGTAAGTAATAAATAAGTTTATCGTTTCCCCAAAATTTTAATATACAGTCTAAAGATCATTTTAAAGAACACAACACTTAATTTCTTGTCTCATACACTAATTCTAGAACAAAGAACCTCACCTCCCAAACAAATACCAAACACTCAGCGCTTGACAGCTGTTTCAGAACAAGACAGCTGCTGTCACCTGATGCTACAAGAACAGTTCTGGTACCTTACGTCAAACGGCTTTGAGCAAACTATGAACCTCACTTCTCTTAACTGTCCTTATTGCCCGAAAATACCATTTGGGAATGTGTTTTGTAAACAGTGAATCACAACAAAAACAGTTTTCCGTCAATGTTGTTTTCAGCATAAAGGTGGCAAAATATGACAAATTCCTATTTGTTGCCGGCAACCAGCTTAGAATTCCGACAACACTGAAACGGCTAATAAAAAAAACCGGCCTCTGTCCCTGGCTCCTTCCTTCATCAGGAGCTGCATCCTCCCGGATTGGAGGGAGTGGCTACGTCACCCAGATACCCGCGACCTGCACATCTTCGGACTTAGCCCAGCGACCCGGTTCGGATGAGCACGGCCTGCGGGGCTGGATCAGCGCGATCCCTGCCAGGAGCCCGGAGTGAGGGTACATTCAGGCCTGGCTGGCGCTCAGCCCCCTCTCGTCTCACCTGTTCGAGCGCCGCCTCTTCAGGAGCGCCCGGGCAGGGGGCACCGACGGGTCACAAAAACGGAAAATGGTGCCGAGAATTCTAATCAGCCATTTGTACATACCAGGCCCCAGCAGCAGCGGCGGCCGACACACCCCGAGACGCAAACCCCAGAGTTGTCGCCGCCGCTGCCGCCTTCGCCGCTTCAGCCACCACCGCCAAGGCTCAGTCGCCTGCTTGTGACGCAATAGGAAGGCCAGCAGATAAAACGTCCCGCCGGTTATAATCGGCCCCAGTCGGCGTACGCTCTCTACGTCACCTCCTACCGCCCGACGGAAAACAGTTTTCGTCCCGCCTCCAGAGCCTAAGCAACAAGAATGCCTGTGGCCCAGGTCCAATCGCTGTTGAGATAAGACGGTGCGTGGGCGGGGTTTTCTCTCTAGGTGATCCAGTCCTGAGACGGCCTGCGGGACAAGGCCCACAGGCTGGTGCCCTTATTTTGCATATATCGTGTTCCCGGAAACTTTATACGTTGTTGCCTTCATTTCTCCCACCGGACGTAGGCGACAGGGAGTCTTGTGCCCATTTTATAAATAAGGAAACGGAGGCACAGAGCGATTAAGTAATTTGTTTAAGAGCACAGCGCTTCTTAGCGAAAACGGAAGTTGGACTGGGATTTGACTACCAGCGCCAGTCTCACCCCTTGAGGTCTACTAGGAGAGACATGTACACTGATAATTGTAAGCTATAAAGGTGTGGTGCTGCAGGATGATGCGCTGGACCACAGGTCAGTTTGAACCGCAAAGTCGGTGGCTCAAACCCACCAGCTGCACCTGAAAAACTCTGTACAGTGTTGCTATGGATCGGAACTGACTCGAAGGCACTTAACAATGTATGCAAAGTGCAGTGGGAGCCAAAGAAGGGAGAACCACTCTGTGGGAGAGAGGGACAGGGTAGAGCTTCTCAAGGAAGGCTTCATAGAAACTTTAGAATGGAACGACACCTGCTGCCTACAAACGCTTTTCATAGAACAAGTCCCCAACCTATTTAATGATAGAAAATCTGATACTTCTGAATCCAGCTCCACCCCCCCACCCCCATTTTAGGAATCCTCAAAGGTTTTTGTATCACACAAATTCATGTCTGATTGTACTTGTTTCCTCCACTTGTGGTTCAATTAAGGCAGATTTCAGGTTTGCTCGAACTTCAACAAAGACACTGTCGCGTACAGGCTCCTCAACAGAGAATAGGTTCTCCTTAGAGCTTCAGAACAACCAGCCCCCCAACCTGGACCTGTGACTACCACGACTCTGGCCTGGGTGTGGGGAACAGTACATGGAGTTTGGAAGCAAGTTCCAACGGCTTATTCAAGTTCCTCCTTTAGTTTTCCAAAGCAGAGCTAACATCAGGCTGTTAACTTAAAGAATAATAGAAAGATTACAAAGCCAAGGAAACTTAGAAGTGGCCATGGTGTGGTGCTGTGGGTTAAAGTGCAGGACTGCAAGGTTGGTTTGAACCACAAGGTCTGTGGTTCAAGCTCACCAGCCACTCCTCAGAAACCTTATACAGGGTCGCTATGATTCATAACCGACTTAACAACAACAATTAGATATATAGACTCTTGGTGTGGTCCTGTAGGATTAGCACTAGACTGCAAACCACAAGGCCCTGTAGGGCAAAGCCACCAGTGGTTCCTCAGAAACCCTATACAGGGTTGCTATGAGTCTGAACCAATTCAACAGTACTTAACAACATTAGATATACAGCATGTATGCTCCATTGAACATGTCCCTCAAGAACATGCCTAGCTCCAAGGCCACTGTTCTCAACAGCTTTTCATAAGTCACCCCTACCTGTCCTATTTTAGGATAGATTCCCAGTAAAATTACCAAGAGTTGGGAATTCCTCTAAAAAAAAGATGACCTTTCACATTATTATGGAGAGTGCTTCTGCTGTTATCCACCAGAAGAGGTTTTGGGAGGGAACTCTCTAAAGAGCAGCCTTTGTTCAAACATAAAAATTGCAACCAGCTTTAAATTACTGCCTATCTCGGGTTCTAATCCTAGAGCTGTAAGAAATATTGAGCTCAAGTCTCAGAGTACCCCAATATAGCACTGAAACAATATTCTTGCTTTACCTTCATGTACCCAACACTGAAACTGTCACCTGCTAGGATGAGGGAGAGTACTTTGGAATCCCAGGACCTTGGGAAGCAATAACTCACAAGTGTGTGGCAGCCCTTTAGCCAGCACCAAACATGCATGTGCATGCACACTCACACACAAACACAGTCCACATACCCTGTGGAATGCAGGAGGCTCAGATTTACCCAGATTGTGCCTCTGCTGCTTTGTGGTCCACATTAGGGAACAGGGCAAGTTCATCCACTGACCCAAGAGTGGAGTTACTATTAACTTCAACTCAACACTGCCACAGGCATTTGTGGACGTAAGAATGCTTCACTGTAGGGCAGGAGGAACTTGCTAGGGCCACAAGGAGTAATGAGGACATTGAGCTTTTGATGAGGACATTGAGCTTTTGATGTGGTTAATTTGTGCCCGTGCACCACAGCAGAGGAACAACCTCACTGCTTAAGCCTACACAGGATCTCTCTCCTAACTGATGTCCCCCTCCCACTGAGATCGTTTCCTTTTCAGAACTTCCAGATCTCATTCCCGTCTTCCTCCCAAAACCAAAATCTCCACAGAATAAATGAATACTCAGTCCTCCAATCCATTCTTTGGCTTTACTAATTTTCTCTCTAGCATTCATTGAATGTTTAAACAGTTCTGCTCCATTTTTGCTGAATTCTCTGGGGGCAGAGTTCTGGACCTTTTAATGGCGGTAGGGATCCAAAGATGGAATGCTGTGCGTTTGGTCCTAAAGTGGATAACCAATAACCCGAACTCTTTGCCATCCAGTTAATTATGATTCATAAGAACTATAGGGACACAAGCCAAATGCTCCAAAATGGCCACAGTACTGTCAATTCAAACCCTATGTTCTATCCCTTTCCCCTGCTTTGACTGCTAAGGAAGGAGGAGACAGCCCCCTCCTCCTGCTATGCATACAGAAACTCCCTGTTCTCATTTAGTTTAGGAATATGCTAAGAAGTAAACAGAAGAGATGACACAGGGTTTCCAAGATTGTAATCTTTTTTTTTTTAATTAATGTTTTTATTTTTAGTCTACATAGTAATGCACTGCAACAGCCTTTAAAATAATCCTTACATAGAATAGTTACCATACAGAAGAAATAAAATGATGGTTTCATCTCAATTTATAAAGGTCCTATGTTTTATCCCATGCATGTAACTAACTGCTCAAATCATTGAGAAACAGTGGTAGTGGTGGTGGTGGTGTGCCATGGAGTCGGTTCCAACCCTTATCGACCCTGTACAGGGTATCTGAGTCTGTAAATCTTTACGGGAGCAGAAAGCCTCATCTTTCTACCACGGAACCTCTGGTAGTTTCAAACTGCTGAATTTAAGGTTAGCAGCCTGACTCATAACCACTACACTACCAGAGTTCCTTAGCAGCAAATAAATGGGAAGCCGAGGTTGTAATCTTTATGGAGACACACTGATGCATCTTTCTCCTGAGGAGCAGCTGGTGGGTTCCAACTGCTGACCTTCTAGCTAGCAACTGAGTGCTTTAACCACTGTGACACCAAGGTGGCATAAAGTAGCTTAAATTCCAACAATTCTCCACCTTGAAGATTAATTTCCTTCTGGGAACCAGTTCCTTTAGCTAGTAACAAAAACATGTTCCTAATATCGTAAGTTTTGCTCTTATTCAATCTGCCCGATACAATGTCTATAATATAATTAGCCTTATTTGATAATAAGGCTTTCTTGTCCTAAATTTCATTATGAAACTTGTCCACATTAACTGCAAACATCTTGGCTTGGCTTTTGTAGAGAAAGAGCAGCAAACCCTACCTAGACCTGTTTCCTAATTTATGAAATGGGGTTAATAAAATCTGAGTCTCAGATCTGTGGGCTGATTAGATACATTTCTATCCCTTAGAAATGTATCTTGGTATCAAATCAATGGCAAACCCTTGTGTGTCAGAGTAGAACTGTGCTCCATAGGATTTTCAATGACTGATTTTTTTAAAGTTGTTTGCCAGGTCTTTCTTCTGAGGTACCTCTGGGTGGACTCCAACCTTTTGATTGATATCCAACAACACTAATTGACTGCACCACCCAGGGACTTTGGTAAAGTAAATTCTTAATGCTTTTCTTCCCTCATCTTTTTTTTCCCACAGCTAATACGAATTTAACTTGCCACGTCTGTATCCCAGATTTTTCACATATCTGTCTGTTCCATCAGAAATCCATCAGTCAGGTTAGTGTCATTTCTTATTTATACTATTGCGATAGCTGCCTTTCTGGCCTCCCTTATTTCCACTTCTACCATCTCACTCTTCTACACTGCTTCCAAATTGATCTCTCGTCTTCTGTCTTTTGTTGGTGGTGGTTTTATTACTGAAGGTAAATTTATATTAATCTATGTAACATGATTAGATGTCTGTCTGTTTTTCTGTTACTGAATCACTAAATGATTGAATTGATATTCACCTAATTTGGAAGGTTTGTTTGGGATTGTTGTTGTTGTTAAGTGCCACTGGTTCCAACTCATGGTGACCCTGTATAGGGTTTTCATGGAGTGGCTGGTAGGTTTGAACTGTCAGCCTACTTAGTGATTTGTAGTCCTATGCTTATCCTACAGTGCCACACCAGGAGTACTAACCATATGACAATCCTAAAATGTACTTTGTACAATGGCACCTAACAGCAACAACATGACCCCTGGGAGAACCTCAAAAAGGCATTTCTGGGAGCTCCTAAAGGCTGAGGTGCAAACAGAGGAGAGAAAGGTACCACCAGAGGAGGTGTGTCCTACTGAGTAAGAAAGCATGAACCCTGTAGTGGGTAGAATGGTGCCTTCCCCCAAATATGACTGCTTTGTGATTTTGGAACCTATGAATAAATGTTACTTTATTTGGAAAAGGGGTCTTTGCAGATGGAATTAAGGATTTTTGAGATGAGATCATCCAAGATACCCAGATGGCCCCTAAATCTTATGACAAGTATCCTTGTAAGAGAGAGGCAGAGGGAGATTTGAGACAGAAGAGATGACACAGAAAAGAGAAGACGATGTGACTGCCAAACAGAGATTGGAGTGATCAAGCCACAAGTCAAGTAATGCTGAGAGCCATCAGAAACTGGAAGAGACAAAAAACCCGATTCTCCCCTAGTGTCCGCAGAGGAAGGGTAGCTGTT